GTGTGGGTGCAGGATGATCTTGGTGAAATGGCGGGCCTCCAGACAGAGAAGTTCAGGAAAGCTCCTACTATGCAAGCCCACTTCTGGGGCCGGGGCGGGGTGGTGGTGTGTGCAGGTTTTCAGCTTAGGTCTGTGCAAATCTTCCTGCCCCTTTGAAGCCTTGTTCCGGCCATCTCAGACAGCCTTTTGTAGCTGAAATGCATTGACAGTCCTCTCTGTTGTAGCTACTTAGCTGCAATGTGAGCCCACCCTCCACAACCAGGAGGCAAGCGTTAAGGCACTTTCCATTATACTCTAGTTTTTGCGGGCAGAACATGCAAGGCTGTGCACCCTGCAAGTGGAACATCTTATCTGACCTTGCCTTAGCCCTGTTTTTTTGTACAAAGTTGAAGAAATGCAAAGAGACCAGTTTATTCCAGCCAGCAGTACAAAAGTTGTTCAAAGGTAACACCAGAAGAGATGCAAAATCAGCTAACGAATAATTATAAGATATACCATTTAAGACTGGCAGGGAACTATCTTGTACTGTGACATGGCAAAGGGATCGGTAAAACTAGGAATCGTAGATAGATCTGACTGCTTATGTAAACTAAAGTATTGAATATGTAACAACTTACCTTTGCTTAAAAGTTGGAGCAAAAAACTGCTCTGGGTCCTTCTTGTGCTCCTGGCCAAGAGGCACCTTATTGCTAGCAAGAAAAACTTAGCAACTAAGAAAGCTGACTCCTGCTGCTCCTTACCGGTGCCCACAAACGAATAAAAGAGAAAAGATAATTTTATAACAAGGTTGCCCTTGCTGGCCTCCTGGAAGGGCCTGACAAAAGTCCTTTCTCCAGAGACAAGTCCTCTTGCTCAAGGGATCCTATCTTTCTGTGTTGCTTCACAAATGGGTACACTGCCTGCTGTGTATAATGGTCTCTTCTGAGGACCAGTTCCAATGCTTCCACCAAAAATTACTCCTATAGCTCAAACTGTAAAGGACAATGGGGAGGGAGCGTGGAGAGGTGTGGAAGTGAGGCCTTGCTCCTCTGACCCTCTCTAGGCTGCACGGAAAGCTAGGCTGTGGCTGTATAATTAAGAAATAATCCTCCAAGCCAAGCTTAGTGGGTCCTGAGTCTGGGGCATACATGAAAAAGCCCTTACCGAGCCTGGCTCTACTTCGCTCACCAGTGAAGCACCTGGGAATGAACTAGGAGCTGTTACAGGGCAGGCTGAGCCATGCTGGGAGGCCATGAGGGTAGGAGGCTTTGTTTCTGAGGCCTCATTTGTTTGTGAGGTCTTTATCATGAGGTGCCCTTGGCGGGATTGCACAAAATGGGCTGTTCCATTGCTATGACGAGCTCTTAAATGTTAGTAGTCCTGAGAATGTCTCAGGACATTGTCTCAGTAGTCCTGAGAATGACACTGCTCACGTGAGTAAGGTTCACAGTAACTGACTGATAGCTGTGCTGCCCAAGAAAAATTTGTAATCATTTTGTAAACAGTTAATAAGTTAATAATAGTTTTGTTAATGCGCTGGATTACATTCCAAGATAGTATTTCCAATGTACTCAAAATTTACATTTTCACATGAAGCTACTTAGCTCTCTCAGGCTTAATTTGGAAGGTAATCAGACTCTTTGGCAGTGGTACAAGATCAGCCAAAATACTGAGAAATTTCTTGTTACCATCCATGGACTTCAGATCAGGGCTACTGTTTTGCTGGTGGAAGCGGTTTTCTGATATTAGACTGGAAACCACGAGGAGTTTCTGTGTCAAGACAGCTTTGTCTTGCTATCTAATACACTCTCTGCTTTACTCTCAGACCCTTCCTTGTAGTCAGTGATGCCATTAAGCCTTTGCAAGAATGGAACAACACAATTTTCCAGTAGACTGGGAAACAAGAATGTCCCTCCAACTTCCATAGGCGTCAGTGCCTTGAGAAGAACATGGACCGAAAATAATTTTCAGGGGAGCATTTCACAGGGACCAGAAGTCCACCTGGCAGGTAGGCATGAATTGATGGTTAAAGGGTATCACAACACAGAAGTATTGATGTGGCCATGATGTCTGAGGACAGAGGCCAGACAAAAACAGGAAGCAGAGGATGGGGTCGTGCATCCCACAGGGGAAATTCCCCTGTGCTCAACAGTGAAATTTTGCTAAGAGTTTGGGGACAGTGGCTGAGATGTACCAGACTTCAGTGACTGAGGAAAAAATACAGAGGCTTGTGGACCTCACAGTTTGTCCTGCTCAGGGCAATTATGACCATGTTCTCAAAAATGGCTAAAACATAGGACAACAGCCATACTGTGAAGCACAGTATCTGTAGCTCCGTGATAGCTGGGAATCCTAGCAAGGGGAGCCCACGGAACTGGGTGGAGTTCTCCTCCATGCAGAGAAGTGCGGAGCTCAGCCTTGGAGATTAAGCATAGACAAGGAAGAAAAATGCAAAAAATGGGATAGAGGTTTGAAAATTAAATGCTTAATTTTGAAAAAAGTTAACAAAAAAGCTTATCCTTGGATAGGATTCTTCTGATTAAGCTTTGGATGCCTGAAGTGTAGGCTTCCCTTTTAGTCAATAGAGAGAAATAGGCAGTTCATCTGACCTACTCACACCTACCTTAGGTGAATCTGAACTGTCAAGCTGGATGCAATCTTTTTAAAAACTGTTGACTGCAAATGCAAGAGGTTTTGGCCAACTGGGTCAAGGTATCATCTTCAAAAATCATACCTGTAGCCAGGAGTTTATTCCCCATTCTCTGCATCTAGATCATTATGCTGACAATTCAAAGTACCCCTTTGCTCTGTCCTCAGTAAACCAAAAGCTTGTGCCAGCACATCTAGTCTCTGAGAGTGTTTTACACTTTCCTTTGATTTCAGTGTGAAACTGCAGTCCAGGTAAAGACTGAAGGTGGTGAATGTCTGTGTTAAGAACCACAGCACCTAACAGGAGAATCATTCAGCTGCCTAACCATAGCTATCAAGTCATCATTTAATACCTTAGATTATCCGGAACAACTGCATGGGGCTATCAGCTGTGACTCAGGACCTGCAAGAGACATACATGGCTGTATTGGCAGCTGGAGACCAGATGGGATACCGTAAGACATCTGAAATGACAGAAGAAACATCAAGCCCTTGAAAGTCTCTCCTAATTTAGATCTGTGCAATTAACTTCCAAATGCTTAAAACTACATGAGATAACCAGTAATTTTTCAGTCTCTTGCAACATAGTGTCCTCTTGTCCTTTTTCCCTGACGATATCAGAGGTGGAGTAACCGCGTTCTGAGTTTTGTCCTTATTTTAGTCATTTTCCTCCAGGGAAAAGTTTTCTCCCTAACTCTTTTTCAGGACAGATTTCACTTCCTGGTTCCTAAGAGTGTAGATTAGAGGGTTCAGAGCTGGGGTGGCAACACTATGCATGAGAGACACCTGCGTTTCCCTTTTGGAGGAGCTTCCTGAGAAGGGAGGTGTGTAATTGAAGAAAACTGGTATGTACAGCAGGGCCACGACACTGAAGTGGGAAGCACAGGTGGAGAAAGCCTTCCATCTTCCTCCTTTGGACTCAAATTTCAGGAAGAGGAAGACGATAACATAGAGGTAAGAGAGGGCTATGAGAGTGGAAGGGGCTAGAGCAATGGATGTGGTGTCAACATTGAGGAAGACCAAGTTGAGGCTGGTGCTACTGCAAGCCAAATTCAAAAGTGGTTTGATGTCACAGAAGAAGTGCTGGATGTGGCTGTGGCCACAGAAACTCAGCTGAGAAGTCATGACTGAGTGCATTGTGGCATGAAAAAAACCAGTCGCCCAGGTGGCCACAGCCAGCAACAGACATGTGGGTGAGCTCATGACCAGGGCGTAGCGCAAGGGGCTGCAAATGGCCATATAGCGGTCATAGGCCTGATGGCCAGGAGCACAGCTTCAGTACTGCCCAGGAAGTGGAAGAAGTGGAGCTGGGCCAAGCACCCACCAAAAGAGATGGGCTGATGCCCAAAGAGAAAGCCAGCGAGCGTCTTGGGAACAGTAACCGTAGAGTAGAAGATGTCCAGGCAGGAGAGGTTTCCCAGGAAGAAGTACATCGGTGCGTGGAGCCAGGACTCAAATATCACTGTGGTCACAATGGCACTGTTTCCCAGAAGACTGGTCAGGTAGAGCAACAGGAAGGCGATGAAGAAAAAGTGCTGCAACCCCTGGAGATCCGTGAGGCCCAAAAGGATGAATTCCCTCACCTCTGTCTGGTTCAGCATTACTGGAACAAGGACAAGCAAAGGCAAAATGTCAAGGTTGCACAGCTGCGAGGAAAAAAGGTATTAAAATATTCATTTGTTTCTGTGCTCTTTTAATATAGATGAATGTGTAAACATGTGCAAAACACAATGCATGAAATAAAACATAAAAGCTGAATAGAAACACAAGAAATGCACATGAACAAAAGCAGCTTAAATGTAGTCTTTTCTTACTTCCTCTTTGTAACAAGAACAAAGAGTAAAAATATGAGAAATATTAATATGAAATATGAAAATATTAAAAAAGGAAATATGAAAATATTAAAGCAAAGTCTTTCTTCTATGCATACAGCAGAACGTGAAAGATATGAAACACTGCTTTTTCTTCCACTCCAGCCACGCTCGTATTTCAGTTCTGTCCATCTGCAACTTCCCACTACAACCTTCAGTCTCATCTACAATGCTTTAACTCACGTGAGTCACTCTTGATGCTCTCTTTCCTCTATTCTGCCTGCATTTCATTAAGTCAATTTCAACTTCTACATTTCTAGTAGCTACCATCTCTTCCTGATACTTTGTTTACCTTAAAACTCGCACAGTATGCAATTTTTTTAGCAATGATAGCCCCTGCAAGGTGCTTCGTGGTGTACACAGTCATCAATATTTCTTTTGTACATTGCTGCGATTTAAAAAAGAGTATTCTTTAGCAGATTGTCTCAAACAGAGCACATGCTCTCATTCTTTTTTCTGTTTCAGGTAAGTTTATTTATATGGAATAAGAATAAAAAGTTCTGAGATTATTCTCCTAGGGCAAGTGGACACATATTTCAGGCTTACATTGTAGACTGCTAATTCTGCAAGATGAGTCTTTTTCTCTGTTCATTCAATGCAGAGACGATAGAGTGAGGATCAATATCAATGAATATAGCTAATGAAAAAAGTTACTTCCAAAACATTTCTTGTAATGAAGTTAAAACATATATACACACATTCCATAGTCTTCATTGCTTCTCCCATTATAATATATATTTTTATTGAAAAGAAGTGGGGTTTTTTTAAGTCACAGAATCACAGAATCGTTTAGGTTGGAAGGGACCTCTGGAGATCATCTAGTCCAACCTCCCTGCTCAAGCAGGGTCCTCTAGAACAGATTGCCCAGGATCACATCCAGCCGGCTTTTGAATATCTCCAGCGAAGGAGACTCCACTACCTCTCTGGGCAACCTGTGCCAATGCTCTGTCACCCTCACAGCGAAGAAGTTTTTTCTCAGGTTCAGATGGAACTTCCTGTGGTTCAGTTTCTGCCCGTTGCCTCTTGTCCTGTTGCTGGGCACCACGGAGAAGAGGCT